TCTATCTATCTATCTATCTATCTATCTATCTATCTATCTATCTATCTGTCTATCTGTCTATCTGTCTATCTGTCTGTCTGTCTGTCTGTCTGTCTGTCTCTGTCCCTCCCTCCCATCCATCATAGTATTTAAATCCCACTGTCTAGACCTGGTTTTCATTGGTTACAGTTATAAATTCAGTTGATAAAAGTCAAGTTTTCTTCTGCATGGTGCCCAGCTAAATAAATAAATACAGTGGATAAATAAAAATGCTTTGGTAATACAATACACTTTTACTCTTAACATTGGCCACCTGTGTTGTTACTTTTGTTGTGTAACTTAGTGAGAAAAACTAGCAGAGTAACTATTACATTACATATGTGAACATGTGTAACAATTTTCTTGTATATAACATTTATAGTGTGTTGATGGGACTCACTTAGATGCAGGTTTTCAAGGTAACAGAGTTCACATACTTCAGGTACTCTGATGCAAAAAAATAAAACGCATCCTCTGCTGTTGATACATTAAATATATGAAAATAAACCACAATCAGCCCAAATCCTCAAAGATCTATTTGGCTTTTGTTCATCTTTTTATTGAGGAGTGTCTCCAATATGACAGTGCAAGGTCTTTTTATGTTTTAAAGCCTTGAGAAGCAAAGACTGTTACCATAGATTTCAGAATACAGATAGATTTTAATTTTAGGTGGTGATTTGACCGCACATATGCAATAAGTGGCTGGTTTGAATACAGATCATACAGAAAAACACAGAAAAGACAAAAGTATAGCATGGCAGCTGACCTCAGCATTGATGTGTATGTGTAAATAAAACCAAAATTGTATTCTTCTGTTAGAAAAACAGCATGGTTGACAAGAATATCTACATTGTCCAAGGGGAAATAACCACTGTTGTTGGAGCCATTAAGAGGAACTCCAGATGGAACACCCATACATCATTGGTACGTTATTTTTAATTATTGCTCATAGGGTTAATACTGCTTAGCAAAAAAAATAAAGAGACCATTGTGTACAACCCTAATTTCTAAAAAAGTTGGAATGTTTTGTAAAATGTAAATAAAACAGGAATGCACTGATTAGCAAATCTCATTCATAACAAAACCCAGTAAACGTATCTAACAATGATCAGTCAGGTCATCTGGATGTTTCTTTGCTGAGATGTTTTATCCTTCATCCAAAGGACTTTATCAGTCCAAGGAGCCACAAACAAACGGAGTCTCACAAGCAGCACACTCACATAGGGGAAACCATTTTATCACCAGCAAACTGTTTTTTTTCCACTATTGGAGTGTCCTGCTTGTGGGACTCCTTGGACTGATGAAGTCCTTTGGATGAAGGATGAAACATCTCGGCAATAAAAGAAATCGTCCAGATGACCTGACTGATCATTGTTGGATTTTTACCTGGATTATTGAAATTGATCTAGTAACATATAAAATGTTAAACTACTCAAATTTTATGGGAAAAAGGTAATTTGATGTTTTTTGGCAGCAATGTATCAAACAAGATTAGACAAAGCCTTGTTTACCACTGTGAAGCATCCCCTCTTTTAACAACAATTCACATGTCTAGGAACCAGGAGACCAGAATCTGAAGTTTTTGGAGGGACTGTTGTCCCATTCTGGTCTGAAGTAGGATTTTAACTGTTCAGGACTGGGTCTTTGTTGCTGGATGTTGTTCTTTTTATGATGCACTAAATGCTTTCAATAGGTGGGAGGTCTGAATTACTGGCAGACAAGTTCAGTATCCAAACTCTTCTACTATAAAACCATGCTGTTTTAATGGATGTAGTAGCGGTTTAGCATCCGCTTGCTGAAATATGCAAGACCTTCCCTGAAAAAGACATCCTGGATGGGATCATATATTGTTCTAAAGCCTGTATAAACTTTTCTGCATTGACGGCGTCTTTCCAGATCTGTTCACTGCCCATGCTATTGGTGCTAATGTCAAGTATCAGTGAGACAGGCTTTTGAACTGTCTGCTGAAAACAGGCCATCTGATTTTTCTCCTGCTTGTATGGAAAATTTGGCATCAATGGTTTTTTAAAGGATTTTTAAATTCTGATTTGTCTGATTACATTCCACTTTGCCTCTGTCCATTTTAAATGAGCTTTGACCCAGAGAAGACAACATTTTTGAGTGGCGTTCATGTATGTCCTAATTTTTGTGTGATTGAGCTTTAACTAGCATTTTTTTGGTTTGGAAGGACTGTGCCTATAGACAGTATTTCATGGAAGTGTTCCTGAGCCCATGCCTTGATGTCCATGAGAGAATCAAACTCGTTGTTACTGTAGTGCTACCTGAGGGCCTGGAGATCGTCATGGACATTTTACTTCCAGCCTTCTCATTTGAGCACAGAGATTTCTCCATATTCTTGAAATCTTTTGATGACGTTATGAACTGTAGATGATGGGATATACAAAGACCTCCCAACGTTCTGCTGAAGAACGTTACTCTGAAATCTTTCCATTTCCTTTAGACAGTTTTTTGCAGACTGGGTAACCTCTGCCCATCCTTCTGGGAGATTTAGCCTATTTACAATGCTGTTTTTATACAAAGTACTTTTACCAACATGTTGCTAATATAATTACATTTTACATAACACCCCAATTTTTTCAAAAATGGGGTTATAAAATTGACTTTTTGAACTTCAGCACTAGATCCTTGTGGTGTATCCAATGTGTAACGATGAATCATTGTTGTTTTTTGTGAACAGGATGAAGAACAAGACCCATTACTGAACAGCTTTGGTCATCTTAAGGAAGTACTCAACAACATAAAAGGTGTGTTGGGATGGGGTTTGTTTATTTTTTGTGTGATATATTTAGTACTCATCCAAATACTGAACCTGTGCTTCCCAAGTTGCTCTTCTAAAGGGGTGCCAGAAAGCTCAGTGGACATGAGAGTTTTAAATCTGCATTTATTTTATGAGGGGGGGGGGGGGGGTCTCTGGACTATGCTACAACATTCCCATAAAAATTCAACGTCTTCACCTCCTATATGTAAATGTATAACGTCTATTTTTGTTGCTTTGCCATGGTAGGCTTTTATTGATGCCTCAAATCGTGCCCTGTCTAGGACACGGTGTGAGAGATCTTTTTTTTATACCGTCTCTCCTCATGTTTTCTTCCCTTTTGTCATCTAAGCAAAAATATTATTCTGAATAAGAATAAGAAGGCCGTGCTTTCATAGCAGCAGCTTCGTGCACTCCGCCCATCTTTCGGACGGCTGTACGTACATGTTCTCGTTGTATCTCGGTGCAATGATAATAAAGTTTATTCTGATTTATGCAGTCTACTGCAGAAGCGCTAGCTAAAAAGCTACAGAGGAGCACTCCATTTCCCTTACGCTGAGCCCCCCCAGGCATGAAAAAACTGAAAAACTATCGGTACAAACAGCGTGCAACACAGACTTGTTTACCCCCTCGACAAAATTCACAGAACATATGAGCGCCCTGCACGTAAATGAGGGGAACACTGTTCTGTATGTATAAAATAATACTCCACCAAAGTTAAAGTTTAAAGTGAGTGCAAAAGTGCTGATACTCTTCCCTCCATGATAAAAGAGCCACGTAAAATGTGGGGGGTGCTAAATTTTGTGTCATTGAACTTAAGTGAAAAAGTAAAGCTTACCAATGTAACCAGAACAAAAAGTTAGTTTGGAGCTTAAATATAGAGAACGTATAGAAAAGCCAAAGTCTTATCTATTCACTATGTCATGTGTAGTAACAGGCATAAGTAGTACCTTTTTTTATTTACCTTTTTTGGAGGGGTGGTGGTAAAAATGTTGGAGGCTTGTGTTGTTCTTGTAATAAAATTACATTCAGTATTTAGTCAGAAATGGGTTTGAATCACTAGAATATCTAGAACTACAATCATATGGCAAATATTCTGCAGCTGCACAGGTTATGCAGTTACCGTCTGATCACTTGTGGATTTACAAATCATAATGAACATGCACATGTTTGCACTCAGAGGAAAATGGTCTAAACTGACAGTGACATTTGGATTCTTGAGTGTTGAATTATTATTTTTTTAATGCAAAACATGAAGTAAATCTTGGACTTTACTATGCGATAATACTGAAGGGAGAAATGGAGCGTACAGTGTGAAAGCTCCGAGGGACATGAGCTGGCTCAGAGTGGTCCTGCATGCCTTTGCGATGAGACACCTGGCAGCTCCAGCAGCTCCACTTGTTGAAGTTCTGTGCAAAGGGAAAGATGCAACACATGGAGCCCCGCTGCCACGAGCTTCCTCCAGGGAATGCCTGCGGGCCTGTGAGATGGACAGGCACTTCTGGCTGAGGAGGACTCCACCACACTACTTAACCCTTCTTTTTCTTTTCCTCCTACTTAGCTCTTAACCCCTGTTCTCTTCAGACATCAGATCACTAAACGTTGTTCTTTATTGCTCCGTTTCACCATAGAGGAAGATTTATTTCCTCTCGTCATATTCACATAAGAAATGTTCATGTCATGGTTGTTGAGAGGTTTTGTTTCTTGCCTAAAACGTAACTCTTCAGCACATACAGCCTCTCAACAGTTGTATTTATGCTCAATTTGTCTGAATGTCTTTGACGACGTCTGTCATGCAGACATACAGCTATGTTTTGGTAGAAGATGTCGCGGGTGGGCTGTGTTTTGTTGCTTCTTTGAGGTTCTGCGGTGGCCCAGCTGTCTGCCTAATGAAAGCTCAGTAATTCCATTCATTCTAATGTGCATATCTAACAAAAGCCAACGAGTTAAGGAAATACGAATTAGTCTCCACAAGAGTTCTCTTGTTTTTTTCAGCCCTTATTTCCGTTCTTTTCCAATTTTCTGTGTTGCCTGCTTCATCTGTGTGAGTGTAGTAAAATACTCACACTGTATTGGGCACTTTTGCACTGTTGAATTGGGTTTGATTGACAGGACCATGTGTCGTGGAGAAGCCGAGTATTGCAGCTGGAAGTATATCATCTGCAATTTTAGTTGGGTAAATATAGCAGGGAGTCTTGTCAACCAGAGAGATAAATTGTTCTGGGAAAGGAAGTGGTGCCTGTCTTTTCTCAGAGCAGGAACAAGTTTTCCCCAACTCCTGGAATATACAAGGTCCTTTCTCGTCTCGTGAACAATGGCAGCTCAGTCGCAGAAGGGGCCGTGGTAGACCATGTGTTGGAATGCCTCAGCTCCACCTTGCTCAGTCAGGAAGTTCAAGTTTTTTTCTCTGATTTAAATGGCATGGTCTGATTTCAGCCTGTTATCTAATACCCATCACTAACTTCATTAGACTCATATAAGTGAATGCTTTCCACATGCCAGCATCTGTCTTTTACATGTGCACTGGCCTGCAAAAGTGTCCAACAATGGGAGTTATAAAATTTCACAATATTTTTTTTACACAGATTTTGCTTCCCAAAGTTGCCATCTTTTTACTATGACTTTGTATAAGGGATTGGATAATGAGTTTTTATTATGGTGTATAGTTTTTTCAAAATAAAATATATATTTTTTTAGAAATGTTAAGTGGACTGCATTTATACAGCACTTTTCTTCTTATCAAGACACTCAAAGCTCTTTACAACACAATCTGTGCCTCATTTACCCATTCATGCAGCTCTATACTAGATCTATACAAAGAGTAATCAGAGCTTTATCACATTCATACACTGATGGGACGCACATCGGAGGCAATAAGAGGTTCAGTGTTTTGCCCAGGGACACTTGGTTATGTGACTGCTGGTGGAATTGAACCCCCAACTCTTGAATTGGAGGACGACTGCTCTAACCACTCAGCCCCAGCCGCCCCTGCTGTTGCTTTAAACCCCTGGATTCAGTTAATCCTCCTCTTTTATTGTTAAATTGGTTTGCCTGGTTTGACATAACCATGATATTTTAAACTTGTTCTGCAATCAGTCATGAAAATGTCCAATATGGAGGTCTCAAAAATCATGTGTGTTAGTCTAATACACCTGCTACACTTGATTTATAGAAAACCCTGACTAGTCCAATTGGTCTAGGCCCCATTGATACTGCTTTAAAACATCAATGGAAGTTTTTTTTTCCCTAATCTGTTTTGCTTCATCCTGATCTTGTTGTCATTAGTCTTTAATCATGTGATGAAATGGTTCACAGCAGGGAGGAAATTATAAATGGGTTCAACATTTATTTATTTTTTATTATTGGGCCTTCAAATGCTCCAAGGCACCTCTTTGACAAAGTATGTTGTTACGTGAAATAAATAAAGTGCTTGATAAAGAAAATGAGCAAGAATAGCATCCCTAAACCTGTCTTTTTCTTAACTTTATCCTCTTATCCAGTTTCCAGCAGATCATTTATGTGAGTTTTATAAAATGATCAGTATGATGGATTTTTAACAAGATGGACCGTAATTATGTATTCTGTTGGAATTTATTTTTACAAGTGACTTTGTTTTTGGATACTTTGTTAAATTTGAGGTTCTATCAGAAATAAAAAAGTACTTTTTGCACTATTTATTATATTCTTCAAGATAAATCAGCCAAAACTGTCCAAAGATTCAAAGTTGGATTTGTGTTTTTAATGATTGTGCAATTAATTTTGATTTGATATTTTGTATTTCAGAGCGTAAAAGTGTGTGTAGGACTTTCAGCCCTGAAATATATTTAGCTTCATGTCTTTTGTTTTATCATTTTTTCACTTTCACCTCTTTATGCTGAAGCCGCTGAGCCTTAAAACCTCAAATCTGTAATTCTTTCCTTTCACCCTCCCTCCTTGTCAAACCCCCTCCGCTGCTGGGAAGGTCAGATTTTTGACAAGTCTGCAGCAGAAACGGTCTGCTCCTAAATCCCTTCATTTTTATTCATACAAATACAGGTTTAGAGCCCCTTGCAGCCCCCTAGACACATAACCGCAGTGGCCCTTTGACTGACGGCCCTTTCCTTTTTATCCAGACACTAACAAAATTCACAAGCACATCTTTAATTGACTTGAATTACCAGCACCACACCAAAAGCAGATATCAGGGGGCATAGAAGTGGATTTGCAGTTTGAACATTGTGGAAGATGATTTGATTACTATCCAGCTGACCTTTACAATAATTATTCTGCTTTCCCCAAAGTGCAGAAGAAAGTAGTGTTAATTTGGCAACAGAGGTGCTTCATCTGTTGTCATAAAATTATATCATTGGTTCACAAAATATATTTTACAATATTTTCACACATTGATTTTCAATATTCTAATCCATGTGTAAACAACACCCTTAATAAATAAGAATATTTATGCACAATAAAAAAAGGTAATAAAAAGGTACTTGTAATCCTATTCACCAGTTATTCTTCTATTGTTACAGGTCTCTCTTGTAAATGAGTCCTCATGACTCAGTGAGACTAAGCTGTTTAAATAAAGGTTGAATGAATTTCAATCACAACTTTTGATTTGCTACAATGTAGGAAAATAACACAGAATGAAAGCTTTTAAACATGCAGCTTAATCGTGAACAGTGTGTCATTACATTTGGTAGCAGCATCATAGGATGGAGACAAACCTTCCAAAAAACTGCTAAAAGTTTCAACATAAACATTAAAGTGCTTTAGGTATGTAAAAAGTTCAAGTTCATGTATCTTTATTATCCCCACGGAAAAACTTATTTTACAGTCAGGAGGCTCACAAAACACTAAAGATACAGAGACATTAAAGTAATACATTAAATCTTCATTTGTTGAGAAGCCTGATTGCTACAGGGATGAATGAATTATTCAGTCTATTCATCCTACATTTGGGCAGCAGATACCTGCATCCAGATGGAAGCAACCTGAACTCACCATGGA